AACACACACGCACGCACGCACGCACGCACGCACGCGCCCGCGCACGCACGCACGCATGCACGCGCACACACGCACGCGCACGCGCACGCGCACGCGCACGCGCACGCGCGCACGCGCACGCGCACGCGCACGCGCACGCGCACACGCGCGCACGCGCGCACGCGCGCACGCGCACGCGCACACGCGCACACGCGCACACGCGCACACGCGCACACGCGCACACGCGCACACGCGCACACGCGCACACGCGCACACGCGCGCACACGCACACACGCACACACGCACGCGCACGCACGCGCACGCACTTTCGCGCACACGCACGCACACACGTACGCGCACACGCACGCACACACGCACACACGCACACACACACGCCGCACACGCACACACGCGCACACGCACGCACGCACGCACGCACGCGCACACACGCGCACACGCGCACACACGCAGCACATACATCACACACAATTCACACACAACGCACACAACACAAACCATACGCACAACACACAATACACACAACACACAAGACACAACACACACAACACACACACGCACACACACACACACGCACACACGCATATACACGCACACACACGCACGCACGTGTACAGCCACGCACACACACGCACACACGCACACACACGCACGCACCCACGCACGCACTCACGCACACACGCACACACGCACGCGCACGCGCGCGCACGCGGGCGCACGCGCGCGCGCACGCACGCGTACGCACACGCACGCGCACGCACGCACGCGCACGCACGCGCACTCACGCACGCGCACGCGCGCGCACGTATGCACGCGAAAACACGCACGCGCGCACGCACGCGCGCGCAAACCCACGCGCGCGCACACGCGCGCACGCGCGCGCGCCGCGCCCCGCCCCCGCGCACGCACGCGCGCGCGCAGCACGCGCGCGCCGCACGCACACACGCACGCGCCGCACGCGCGCGCGCGGCCGCCCGCCCCGCGCGCGCGCACGCACGCACGCACGCATGCACGCACGCACGTGCCCGCGCGCGCGCGCGCCCGCCCGCCCGCCCGCCCGCCCGCCCGCGCGCGCGCGAGCGCACCGCGCGCGCGCGCGCGCTCACTTGCGCACGCGCGCACGCGCGCGCACGCACGCGCGCGCGCGCGAACGCACGCGCGCGCGCGTGCACTCACCCACGCCCCCGCGCGCCCCCGCACGCGCCCATGTACGCCCACGCGCCCGCGCGCGCCCGCGCGCGCGTTCACGCACCCGCGCGCCCACGCGCGCCCAGACGCACCCACGCGCACCCACAAGCCCACGCACTACCACGCACTACCACGCGCGCCCACGCGCGCCCACGCACGCCCACGCGCACCCACGCACGCCCGCGCACAACGCACAATACGCAACACACAACACACAACACACAACACACAACACACAACACACGCCACACACCACACACCACGCACCACGCACCACGCACCACACAACACAACACACAACACACAACACAACACACAACACACAACGCACAACACACAATACACACGACGCAATACACAAGACACAACGCACAACGCACAGCACACAGCACGCAACACACAACGCGCAACACAACACGCAACACACAACACACAACACACACAACGCACAACACGCAGCGCGCACCGCACAACACACACCACGCACCACACAACACGCAACACGCACCACACAACGCACGCCACACACCACGCAACGCACAACACACAACATACAACACAACGCAGCACACACACCACACAACACACAACGCAACACACAACACACGCACCACACACCACACACCACATGCCACACAACACACAGCATAGAACACATAACGCAACACGCACCAGACACAACGCAACGCACAACCCGCGACCCACGACGCACGACGCGCGACGCACGACGCGCGACACACGACACGCGAAACACGACGCACACAACGCACAACACAACACACACCACACAACACACAACACAAACCACAACACAACACACAACACACACACACCACACAACGCACAACTCAACACATCACACAACACACAACACACAACGCTTAACACACAACACACACCACACAACAGACACACAACACACACAACACGCACGGCACGCACCACACAACACACAACGCACGCAACACACAACACACAACACAGAACACACAACACACAACGCACAACACACAACACACAAACCACACACAGCACACAACATACAACACACAACACACAACGCACAACACGCACCCGCGCGCCCACGCGCGCCCAGGCGCACCCACGCGCACCCACAAGCCCACGCACTACCACGCACTACCACGCGCGCCCACGAGCGCCCACGCGCGCCCACGCGCGCCCACGCACGCCCGCGCACAACGCACAACACACAGCACACAACACACAACACACAACACACAACACACAACACACACCACACACCACACACCGCGCACCACGCACCACACCACACAACACAACGCACAACACACAA